CAGCAGGAACTTCAAAAAGTTCATGGAAAATGGAATGAAACTGAGTCTATTTTGGTGCAGAGACGGTTTTGAAATCAGTATCTAGGCTCTTTCATGAGACACATTTCCAAGGACCACTTGAAGGCCCTCATATGTGTCAGTGTAAAACGTTTCTTAGGAACCCTGATGTCCTGAAAACAGCCCAAGTGTGGAAGGACTGAGATTAATGTGATCCTGCTTTTCAGAGTGCTGGGAACAGGACCCCCACATCCGGCCCTCGTTCGCCTCCATCCTTGAGCGGCTGAAGGCTATCGAAGGGACGGTGATGACCGAGATGCCCCAGGAGTCGTTCCACTCCATGCAAGACGACTGGAAGCTGGAAATCCAGCAGATGTTTGATGAGCTGAGGACTAAGGAAAAGGTGAGGGGCAAGTTTTTAATTGCGTTACACGCTAGCTTTTATGCAAATTATGGAGACGGGAGCCAAATCACGGTGTTACTCTAAAATATTTTCAGACATCAGTACTTATTGATTCTTACCCTCATTCGGGTTAAAAATAGAACAAAAACAAAACAGGTGTACTCCAGGTGGATAAATGGGGAAAAAAATTGTTGGTCATGGAAATTTTCAAATGTAAGGAAAAAATAGGAAAGAGACTAGCATAATAAACCCTTCACGTGCATTTATCAGCCTCAGAAATTGTCATTTTATCATTTTGTCCATGTCTCTTCCCCATTATCATTTTCTTAAACTGGACTATTATTAATCAAATCCTGGATCCATGTCACTTTACCCATAAACGCCTCAATACGCATTTCTAACTAGTAAGAATTTTAAAAAATAACATTCTTGCTATCATGATCCTAAAAATTAACAGTAATTTTGTAATATGTAATACCGTGTTTATATTAAAATTCACAAGGATGTCTTTTATCCTTGGTTTATGCAGATCAGAACTTATATAGGAGGTGCATGGTAGTTTGCACCCTCGAAGGGCCTTGACTTCCGGGCCGGTGGTGTGGCCCTGGAGGACAAGCTTGCGAAGGGCTCGATGCCGTCTCGGCAATGCTGTCGAGCCAGAGAGACACTCCAGGTTGAGACTGGCAGGTCTGGGCTAGCCCGTCGCTAGTGACTACAGGAGCTGCGTCTCCAGGACCGACTGCAGTTCAGATCGCAGCTGGTTTGAGAAACGCGCCAAGCACGCATGCCCAAAATCCCGACAGGCACTCCAGACACTGCCCCGATGGAGGGATGCAGAAGCCCAGAGGCTGGGTGTGTTTGAAATCCCACAGGGCTTGAAGGATCGCGGCCCATGGGATCCCTGAGGGTCCCTTGGAAATTTTAATACAGTTTGCTGACTTCAAATGATAGAGGAAAGACTGGTTTTTATAAAAATTCTCTAGATTGTTTTCAGGAATTATAAGATTCCTGGATATCTAATCACAAAAATGGAAAATGATTTGGGGGAATGGAAGAGACTTCGAGTGACATGAAGGCTTTAAATCACAGAATTTGAAATTCGGGAATGATGTTACCAACAATTAACTACTGTACGTTTGCCCTGTTTTTGTTTTGTTTTAGCTTGCTATAGGGTGTGTGTGCTGGCTGGAAAGAGACAGAAAAAGGGAACGTAAGAAATCACACCAAAATCCCTTCTTCAGTCTTGGGATTTGGGGCACGTGTGCCCCGTGTGATTTTCAGGCTGCCAGGTTTGACGCTCCAGCAGCACGGTCGGCCATGTGGGACTCAGCCACCTTAGCTCCATGCCACCTGCTGGCCGCGGCCCTGGTTTTAGTTATTTTAAATGACTGATCTTTATGAAACTGCAGGGTATGAACACACCCAGTGAGCCAGCTCTGGTTATATGCGGAGGACAGACAAACGCGTGCTCCGAGACCACGCCAGCTGCTCCTCCGTTTTCACACGGATAGTGCCGTCTGTTATCAGTCATTTTAAGCTGGCTTTTTATTTGATTTTTGTGCATAATTAGTCCTTGAAATATATCATATCATTTACAGTATCCTATCTTGTGAGCGTTCTGATTTGTGATGAAAAGATACAACCTTTTTTTGTTTTTCTCAGAGCTTTCTCTTTGGGTCTTCTTGACACTGAGAGCGTGGGTGCCCGATCTCCCTCCCTGCTCATTGACTGTGAGGGGTAGGAGGCCACAGGCTTGGAGTAGTGGCTGTGGCCTGGCTGTGCTCTGAGCTGGCCAGCCCTCCTGCAGATGCGGGACCCCCGAACTCCTGGCTCTTATCTCTGCTGTCTGTCTCTGGCTGGAGCAGGCTCCATCATCACCCGCTGCACCTAGTGTCCTCGTTAGTGATTAACCTCTGCCCACAGGGCTCGGGGTTTGCCATTGCCAGAGTGGAATGGCTGTGCCAAGCATCTGGAAAGCTGGTACTGCGGGCGGTCCCGGTGAGAGAATGTGTATGCATCACAGTGGTGCCAGCGGCCAGACCTTTTACCCTTTACTTGGGAATATTTTAAAACTCACTCCGGATCCAGGCGACTTATGCTGCCTGCTCTTAGATCTTACTTTTTCCCTCATGAAGTCTTAGGCAAGTGATTTCTTTTTTCATGTGTAAAGATTTTGTAAGGGGATTTATATTTTAGACTGAGGCCTGGAATTGAGAAAGGTTTCTTACTCAGGTTCTGTAGTGACACAGAAAGCCTACCTGACTCTCCTGCCCTTCCTGCTGCCTCGGGCCAGCTCATTCCACAGTAGTTCCTTGGGTAGGTATCAGTACCCCTGAAAAGTAAGAGCTTCACAAAAAGGTGGAAACTATGAGCTAGACAGTGGACGTTGACTGGAAATTATCCCGAGTCTCCACATGCACTCTAATAAATCTCCAGTTTGGAAAAACTCGTTGGAGAAGGTTACCAGGTAAAAAAACAGATTACAGAATTTTTTTTTTTAACATGTAACTTTTTTTTCCTTTCAAAATATAAGTACTCATTTATACCTGGCACAGTCTAAGGAAGAACTACTGTTCTGGGACCAGCAGTTAGCATAATGGCTATGTCGCTGGACTCCCATGTAGTGGACCACAGTTCGAGTCCCGGGCCTGGTGGCTTAAACTCAGGCCAGGCGCGTGTGTGTGTGTGCCCAAGATCCCAAGAAGAGAGTGGAGGAGAAGGGATTGCGGTGTGGCCATCTCCCCTGAGGGGTGATTTCTCGCTTTCTGTCTCTCTCTGTCTTTCTGGCAAGCACACATGCCCTATAGCAAAAACTTCTCCAAGAAAAAAGAACTACTCTTCTGCTCTATAAAATCACCCACTCCTTTTAGCAGAAAGAACTGGAACATAGTCTCTCTAAGGTAAATAATTTCTCTTACAATTTTGTTTATGCAATTTGTTCAGAAAAAAAATTAATATTAAAACATCTTTCAAAGCTGAATTTCAGTCCACTTTGGTACAATTGCCATAAATTCAGAATTAGTTTGCTCTGAATAAAGATTTAAAATCAGGACTTGCAGTCTCGTCTCCACATTGCTGTGCGTATTTGTGGGAGGATACCTTGTGTTTGCGTTCCTTGGTGAGAATTGTACGGACAGGTAGATGCTCAGACTCTGGGTGCACATAGAAGAGGAGCACTGCCTGGGATTGGCGTGTTAGTGGCACTGTCTTCTGCCCTACAGTGTGTCCTGGGGGTCGGTACTGCTGAGGTGTGCCTATGGGAAGTATAAAGTAGGGAGTGTTTGCAAAACGCTCTGAGCTCAAGGCCCGCAACCCAAAGCTCTCCCAAGAAGGCACCTGTGGTCTCTGCAGAGATGTGCCGCACGAGGGCTCTGCGACCAATTCGTCTGGAGCAGTGTCAGTCAGAGCTTGCAGGTGCCTCGATGGCTATGCGAGTGCTTGACTTAGTAGCATGGTAATCTAGAATAGAAAGTAGTTCACCAGAAAAGGGGAACTGGGGCCTGCAGGTGGCGTAGTAGTTATGTCACTGGACTCCCACACAGCCGATTCCAATTCAAGTCCTGGACCTAGAGGCTTGAAAATCATGCCAGGTATGTGTGCCTGCATGCCCAAAATTCCAAGAGGAGAACGGAAGAGAGGGGCTTGCAACATGGCCATCCCCCCTGGGGTCACTTTCTCTCTCTCTCTGTCTCTGTCTCTACAGCAAGTGCATGTGCTCTATAACAAAAATCTCTCTTTTAAAAAAAGAGAAGGGATACTTATACTCTGGCAAAGAATAGACATTTAACAGAGATAGGAGTGGGACATGGTGTTAAAACTTTGGAGTGTTCTCAGTTTTACTGTGGCACACTTTGTTCTAATAGGAATGAAAGTATTTCTGAACTCATAGGTTTTCTGTTTCACAGAAATTCAAGATTCTAAAGCAAAACCAAGGAGTTTCACCAGTGTCGTGGCGGGGGCTTCGATTAGCTAGCTCATGGGATGTTCTAGAAGGCCCCTTCCACACACAGGGGGAGCTGAGTTTGTTGTTCGCTGGGTGTATGGTCCCAGGGCTCACAATTTCAGAGGAGTCTCATTTTCATCCCCAATAGGCCTTCAGCTGACTAGCTTAACACATTAACTTTGTCTTTCCTTAATCTCTCCACCAAGGAGGTGTTTGTGTTCTCTAAGGAAACTTTTTAACATTTTTTTGGAGAGATATTTTTGCTACTGGGCACGTGCACTCACCGCAATCCCTTCTCCATTCTCCTCTCTGTATCCTGGGCTCATGCACACTTGCCTGGTGTGGATTTCAGGCCACTGGGTCCAGATCTACCCGTGTTTGGCCACGTGCGAGTCCAGCACCTTAACCACTATGCCACCTGCTGGCCCCAATTAAGCAAACTGTAAATGCTCTAAGAAAGACCCTGAGCCATATATGGACTGCAGTCTTCTGTAACTAAGTCATCCTTCTTTGATTTAATCACGTTTTATCCTGAGCATGATCACTCACAGCTGTTCCTCGTCCTGAGTGCTAACATCCCACCTATGTGTCCTGTCGGGAGACCATCTAGGCTGGCGATGAGGAGAGAGACATTGAAATCGGGTGGGGAGAATCGTGATGCCTCATTTAGGATAACATTGACAGGAGGATGTGCTCGGGCTTTGGCTCCATCTAAGTCAGTAACACAGCACAGACAGTCTCGGCCGCGTCCTGGCTGCAGAGAGCCGGTCCTGCCAGGGCCTGGTGAGCAGGTGCTGAGCGGGGACGCGGGGTCCACCTCTGCTGCGTGAGCTGCTCGTGCAGTGGGACAGAGCCCAAGTGATGCCCTGGTGTGGGTCTTTGTCCAGGAGCTGCGGTCCCGGGAAGAGGAGTTGACCCGAGCCGCCCTCCAGCAGAAGTCGCAGGAGGAGCTGCTCCGGCGGCGGGAGCAGCAGCTGGCGGAGCGCGAGATCGACGTACTGGAGCGGGAGCTGAACATCCTGATCTTCCAGCTGAACCAGGACATGCCCCACGTGAAGAAGAGGAAGGGCAAGCTCAAGAGGGGCCGCGTGAAGCTCAAGGATGGGCAGCGGATCAGCCTGCCTTCAGGTACGCCTCTCAGGTCTTACGGTTTTGGGCGCCCTCCTGCTCAGCCTCCTTGTTCATCAGAACTGGGCAGGAGAGAGGGAACTGGGATGTGAAACCACGAGTCATTTTCTCAGCTGCTTGGTTGATTCAGTTCAGGCTCTGATGTGGTGGCCTCCCGAGGACTCGTGTGTCACAGGGCGTGTAGTCATGCACGCCAAAGTCGGGCTCACAGCAGACTTGGATCACGGGGGGTGGGGGGGGGCTCGGTTTATTCCTTTTGAAATGGAAGCAGAGCCCCTGTTCAGCTGCTGCACTGAAGGAGCGCCCCGTGGCATCGTGCAGGTCCAGACAGCAAACCGCACCTGCTCCCTCGTTGAGGTCAGGGCCTCCAGCAGGGTCTACGGTGTCGCCGGCATCAGAGCCTGTCTGGGACGTCGGCGTTGCTCTAGCACCATCAGCACAATGCATCGAGTATTTTACTGTATTCCTGTTTTCATCTAAGAGCTGAAAACCCACAAGGTACAGAGATGAACCAGTAAATCTAGGGAATCTGAGAGAAACCTTTCTTACACACAAGACAACATGAAAGAATTACTAGCCCTTTTAGTGTGGTGGGGAAATGAGCAGAAAGTAGCAAGCGTGAATCACCATGTTACCTGCTTTCATGTCACGCATAGTCCTTGGTTTAAGAAAGACAAATACCCGTCACACTTTATTTTCTCTCTTGTTTTTGAGAGGTTTTTGCTATAGGGCATGTGCATTTGCCAGAGAGACAGAGAGCAAGAAATCACCCCCCCCCGTCCCGCCCAGGGGGGATGACCACACCACAATCCCTTCTCCTCCATTCTCCTCTCGGGATCTTGGGCGCACACGTGCCCAGTTGTGATTGTAAGCCACTGCGTCCAGGCCTCAAACTGCGGTCGACTACATGGGAGTTCAGTGACATAGCCATTATGCTAACTGCTGGTCCCCACGTTTTCTTTTTAATACTAGAGCAGGGTAGTGGCAGACCGAGAGCAGGCTCACTTGCTAGGATGTGTGTTTAAGAGCTGTAGGTCTACCTCACACTGTGCATACAGTGCACCTCACACTGACCTCATGCTGTGTGCACCGTACACCGCACACTGACCTCACCCTGTGGAACGTACACTGCACACCGACCTCACATTGTGCACCGTACACCACACACCGACCTCACACTGTGTGCATCGTGCACTGTACACTGACCTCACACTGTGTGCATCGTGCACTGTACACTGACCTCACACTGTGTGCATCGTGCACTGTACACTGACCTCACACTGTGTGCATCGTGCACTGTACGCTGACCTCACACTGTGTGCACCGTACACCGCACACCGACCTCACACTGTGCACCGTGCACCACACACTGACCTCACATTGTGCACCGTGCACCGCACACTGACCTCACACTGTGTGTTTTAGTGTGGTGGGGAAATGAGCAGAAAGTAGCAAGCGTGAATCACCATGTTACCTGCGTTCATGCCACGCGTAGTCCTTGGTTTAAGAAAGACAAATACCCGTCACACTTTATTTTCTTTCTTTTTTTTGAGAGGTTTTTGCTATAGGGCATGTGCATTTGCCAGAGAGACAGAGAGCAAGAAATCACCCCCCCCCGTCCCGCCCAGGGGGGATGACCACACCACAATCCCTTCTCCTCCATTCTCCTCTCGGTGTCTGTGGCGCACGCGTGCCCAGTTGTGATTGTAAGCCACTGCGTCCAGGCCTCAAACTGCGGTCGACTACATGGGAGTTCAGTGACATAGCCATTATGCTAACTGCTGGTCCCCACGTTTTCTTTTTAATACTAGAGCAGGGTAGTGGCAGACCGAGAGCAGGCTCACTTGCTAGGATGTGTGTTTAAGAGCTGTAGGTCTACCTCACACTGTGCATACAGTGCACCTCACACTGACCTCATGCTGTGTGCACCGTACACCGCACACTGACCTCACCCTGTGGAACGTACACTGCACACCGACCTCACATTGTGCACCGTACACCACACACCGACCTCACACTGTGTGCACCGTGCACTGCACACTGACCTCACACTGTGTGCACCGTACACCGCACACCGACCTCACACTGTGCACCGTGCACTGCACACTGACCTCACACTGTGCACCGTGCACCGCACACTGACCTCACACTGTGTGCACTGTACACTGCACACCGACCTCACACTGTGTGCACTGTGCACTGCACACCGACCTCACACTGTGTGCACCATACACCGCACACCGACCTCACACTGTGCACCGTGCACTGCACACTGACCTCACACTGTGCACCGTGCACCGAACAGAGAGGTTTTTGCTATAGGGCGCGTGATTGCACACCGACCTCACACTGTGTGCATCATACACTGCACACTGACCTCACACTGTGTGCACCATGCACTGCACACCGACCTCACACTGCGTGCACCGA